CTGAGAAATGCGCGGCTCGATTTGGCCAAATTTTGCCGGGCAGCCTCCGGGCAAAACTTGGCCAAATCGAGCCGCGCATTACTCATGGCATACGAAGAGCAACCCGATTTGGCCAAATTTTGCCCGCAGGCTGCCCGGCAAAATTTGGCCAAATCGAGCCGCCATAGTTTAAATAATTTCGTTCAATTAGTTCAGTCATTTCCAAATGGGGGGGATTCCCCAGCCCCCACCCCCCCCCTTTGGAAATAAATGAATTAATTGAATTAATTGAATTAATTGAATTAATTGAATTAATTGACATAATTGAATTAATTGAATTAATTCAATTAATTCATTTATTTCCAAAGGGGAATTAATTGAATTAATTGAATTAATTGAATTAATTGAATTAATTGAATTAATTCAATTAATTCAATTATTTCCAAATGGGGGGATTCCCCAGCCCCCACCCCTCCCCCCCCTTTGGAAATAAATGAATTAATTGAATTAATTGAATTAATTGAAATAATTGAATTAATTCAATTAATTCAATTAATTCCACCCCCCCTTTGGAAATAAATGAATTAATTGAATTAATTGAATTAATTTAATTCAATTAATTCAATTAATTCAATTAATTCATTTATTTCCAAAGGGGGGGGGGGTGGGGGCTGGGGAATCCCTGAATTAATTCAATTAATTCAATTAATTCAATTAATTCAATTCATTCAATTCATTCAATTAATTCAATTAATTCAATTAATTCATTTATTTCCAAAGGGGGGGGGGGGTGGGGGCTGGGGAATCCCCCCCATTTGGAAATAAATGAATTAATTGAATTAATTGAATTAATTGAATTAATTGAATTAATTGAATTAATTCAATTAATTCAATTAATTCAATGAATTCCACCTCCCCTTTGGAAATAAATGAATTAATTGAATTAATTGAATTAATTCAATTAATTCAATTAATTCAATTAATTCATTTATTTCCAAAGGGGGGGGGGGGGTGGGGGCTGGGGAATCCCCCCCATTTGGAAATAAATGAATTAATTGAATTATTTGAATTAATTGAAATAATTGAATTAATTCAATTAATTCAATTAATTCCACCTCCCCTTTGGAAATAAATGAATTAATTGAATTAATTGAATTAATTCAATTAATTGAATTAATTGAATTAATTGAATTAATTCAATTAATTCAATTAATTCCACCTCCCCTTTGGAAATAAATGAATTAATTGAATTAATTGAATTAATTCAATTATTTCAATTAATTCAGTTAATTCATTTATTTCCAAATGGGGGGTGGGGGCTGGGGAATCCTCCTCCCCCCAATACTAAACCACGAGCCCGGGCCTCCCCCCAATACTAAATCACGAGCCCGGGCCTCCCCCCAATACTAAATTACGAGCCCGGGCCTTCCCGCAATACTAAATCACGAGCCCGGGCCTCCCCCCAATACTAAATCACGAGCCCGGGCTAAATCCCGAGCCCGGCCTCCAAATTACGAGGCCGGGCCTCCCCCCAATACTAAATCACGAGCCCGGGCCTCCCCCCAATACTAAATCACGAGCCCGGGCCTCCCCGCAATGCTAATTTACGAGCCCGGAATGGTGCCCCCCCCCATTTGGAATTAATTGAATTAATTGAATTAATTGAATTAATTGAATTAATTGAATTAATTCAGGTAATTGACCCCCCATTTGGAATTAATTGAATTAATTGAATTAATTCAATTAATTCCATTAATTCAATTAATTCCATTAATTCATTTATTTCAATTAATTCCAAAAGGGGGGGGGGTGAATTAATTCAATTAATTCAATTATTTCCAAATGGTGCCCCCCCCCCCGCCCCCAGCCCCGAGCCCCCCACCCCCCCATTTGGAATTAATTGAATTAATTGAATTAATTGAATTAATTGAATTAATTGAATTAATTGAATTAATTGAATTAACTGAATTAATTGAATTAATTCAATTAATTCATCCCTCATTTGGAATTAATTGAATTAATTCAATTAATTCAATTAATTCCATTAATTCAATTAATTCCATTAATTCATTTAATTCAATTAATTCCAAAAGGGGTGGGTGAATTAATTGAATTTATTCAATTAATTCAATTAATTCAACCTCCCCAAGTGTAAATAAATGAATTAATTGAATTAATTGAATTAAATTCTGTCTTGGCAACCCTACAGAACCTAAAATAGGGTCTATTTGGAAGTTGTCTCTTGTAAATAAGTATACGTTTTGGGGCCTGATTTCCTCTTTAAAACACAAGTCTCAGCTTCCAAATAGACCCCTAATTTAAGCTCACACCCCCCCCCCCCCCCCGCCCCTCCCCCTTCCCGCCCCCGTTACGACAGAGTCTCACACGACCCTAAGCCCTAAACCCCAAACCCTCAACCCTAAACCGGAGGTATAGGGGTAATCTCCTTCAAGTAGCCTCCTCGAAGCCCCTAGGCTTCTACAAGCAATTGACATGACCTCCCCCACAGCGCAATGCTACGCGAGAGCTCCAGGAAGTGTAACTAAGCCTCACGCTATGCAATGCCATCAGGGCTTAGGGTTCAGGGTTATATATGTACACATATATATATATAAGCATATATAGGTATATATGTATATGTATATATATATAAACAAATATAAATATAAATATAAATATAAATATAAATACAAATACAAATATAGATATAAATATAAATATAAATACAAATATAAATAAATATATAAATATATAAATATAAATATAAATATAAATATAAATATAAATATAAATATAAATATAAATAAATCAAGATATATATATATATATATATATATATATATTTATAAGGCTCTTTGGTATTGCGATGCAAATCGTCAGCTCTCCTTCCTCAACGTTTCACGCTTCCTCGGCCTGAAGCGGACTTCAAAGTGAACGACCCGCAAACCCTCACTCACAAACCCCAGACCCCGAACTTGGTTTTGTTGTGGTCAGCGCTGGCAGGGCCTCGTATCACTCCGCAAGGCGGATGCCAGCGTCTGAAACGGCGCAAAGCTTGAAGCCAGCTGCACACAGACCCGCTCCCTGGACCTCTCCTGGAACCCTTTTCGTAATTCCTTCTGTGACTAATTTTCTTCTTTTCTGCGAGCTGTGAATTACATATGAGGTTTAGGATAACAAGGGACCGCCCAATAGTAGGGTCTCTTTCTAGTAAGGACCTCAAGAAGGTACCCCCAGCCCCCCAACCCATATCCGAAAAAGCCACTACAACTCTTCTCTCTGAATGCCCCAATGCCCCAACATGTCGTAAAACCCCCATATCCGAAAAAAGGAACCACAATGGGTAACTCTCTAAATGAAGGTCCCATTTTGGGTCTCATTCTAAGGCGGCAAACTTTAAGAAAAAAGGGATCAAAGGTGTGCCCCCTGCGAGCCTCGAGCTTCAAGTCGTGGGTTCTGGGGGGCGTTGTCTGCCCAAGGAGCCCAGTACCCCTTTAACTAAGGAAGAAAGCTTAGATGACTCATTAAGGGTCGCTATTATTGATTCCTGAATTTTAGGGGCATTGGGCTCTCTGGGTCACACAGGGCCTCACTTGCTCCTCAGAAGCTTCTCGCACGGCTTGCCGTCCCGATCACCATCCAGGCCAGCCAGATCGCCATACTGAGGGAAGTACTTGTCGTACCATGCCTGAGGAGACTGGTACTCAGGAAGCACAATCTTTCAAAATCGGTTTAGGGTTTAGGGTTTAGGGTTTAGGGTTTAGGGTTTAGGGTATAGAGTATAGATGATCTCGGCGTCCTAACTATGACGTTATAAGAACTTACTGCATAGCTAAAGAGACCTGGGCTGTCTGACGTTAGAGGCTCTTGAAGGCCTACAGAAGCCAAATCAATAACCTTCATGGTCTTCAGCGCTTCCAGTTGAGGGTCATTGAAGGCTCTCAATACACTTCCGAACGCCAAAAGCTAGTGCAGCTGCCTAAGCCCCAAAACTCTAAACCCTAAACCCCTAAACCCCTAACCCAAAACCCCAAACCCTGGACTCTAAACCCGGCGCCTACGGCCTTCTCTCCATCACCCAGATTCGACGCACCCTAAACCCTAAACCCCAAAGCCCTAAACCCTAAACCCTAAACCCGAACTTGTACCCTGAAGAAGCGATTCTAGGGATCCGTAAAGGTGGAAGTACTGGCGGGTAGTTGAGGGGGGGGGGGGGGCCTCTGGTCAACTCAGCCGAATTTTTGGATCCCTCCCGAACCTGGGTGCCTTCGCCTCCTGGTATGTGGAGAAGTCCTTGCAGCTAGTTCTCTTCAGCTCCTGCATGCGGAGACGTTCCCTAAACCCTAAACCCTAAACCCTAAACCCCAAACCCTAGTATTTCATGGTGTTTGGGATTCTTGAGGAGGTTCAGGTTTGGCAGCTGCTGCCAGGATTGGGTTGGAGGCGGCAGGGCATCTGAGGTAGGAGGGCATGTGGAGACAAGCGTGAACAAGGGGTTCAGTCCAGCACGAAGGCTGCTTGCAAAGTCCAAAAAACCTGCGCTGACTGCTCCACAAGCGTGCCCCGCCCCCCGCCCCCCCCCACCAGAAACCACGACTCCAACATTTCGATGGTCGTGAGCATCACCAAGACCAAAACCTTCACAGTGACCTCCCACATCATGGCACTCTTGGCCAACACATCTGCTTTATAGCTTTTTTTCAGGGGGAGATTCAATGAAGTATTGCAAGTGTGCCTTACCTGTCACGCCTTGAGCACTTCAAACGTCAGGTACAAAGTCCCGGCGCGGCGCCACAGGCCCCCAAGACTGCACAATAGGCAACGGGTGCATGCCAACGCTTCTTTTTCTCTGGGTGATGGCACCTGCAAACGTGAAGCACCCTAAACCCTAAACCCTAAACCCTAAACCCTGAATCCTAAACCTAAAACCCAAAACCCTAAATCCTACACCCTAGAGACCTTATGTAAACCCTAACCCCTAAAGCCCAAAGCCCAAACCCAAACCCAGACACGCTCAGAAGCTAGCAACATGGCAGCAGGCTGGCCAAGGCGTCGGCAGCTCTTGCTGGCAGCTTGCGCTTTGCCTCTTGGAAGATTCGGATGCACAAAGAGCCCAATACCCCTCAAGTAACCCTAAACCCTAAACCCTAAACCCTAAACCCTCAACCCTAAGCTGTAGGTTTATAGGACACCCTCTATGCTTTAAGGCATATGACCTAATTTCAGGGGGTATGGGGTTCTTTGAACACCATGTATGAACATAATCGCAGGTTCAGTTCATGGCCGAGGTCGGGAGATATGTACCTTTTTTTTCGGATCACGGTTACATTTCCAGTGTGATAACTACCCTACTTATGACTCTTTAGGGTTTAGGGTTTAGGTTTAGGGTTTAGGGTTTAGGGTTTAGGGTTTAGGGTTTAGGGTTTAGGGTTTAGGGTTTAACTAATGACCCACTTACAACTACCCATCTTCTCAAGTAAACCAGCCGGCCGACAACCCTAGCCTGCTCCAGCCCAGCCGAGTTTCAGAGTTTATTCAAAGAACCCTCTATAGACCCTTTCATGAAGGAATATGCCTTAAATCAGAATAAGACCCCTTATAATTTTTACTGACCCCAAGCCCTCAACCATTACGAAAGCCAAACCTTCGACCCAAAAAAACATCCGAATCTTAGGCCTTCTTTTTTTTAAGTGAGGCGTTGGGGCTATATTGAGCCTTGGGGATATATTGCGTTGTTTGAGCATTGGAAGTGGAAAAAAAAAACAACTCTAAACCCCACATCCTAAACCTCTAAAACCCTAAACCCATCTAAACCCATCTAAACCCATCTAAACCCATCTAAACCCATCTAAACCCATCTAAACACATCTAAACCCATCTAAACCCATCTAGACACATCTAAACCCATCTAAACAACTCTCAAAACCCATCTAAACCCATCTAAACCGCGCCTTTCCCGAGCCCAGCCCCGAGAGTCCATCCATGGTCAGCGCAACCAGCGACACCAGCGCCACGTCCGTGGTCAGTATGCGGCTCCCCAAAGAGACCTCGAGATTTTTTCCGTGAGTTTCGGGATCTGAAGTAAACAACCCTAAACAGCACCAAACCGTAAGACCAAACCCTAAACAGCCCTAAACCCGAAACCCTTTTTGCATCCCCCTAAACCCCAAAACTCTCCCCATGCCTGCACAAAACCACGCTCGCGGAACATGTCCACCTCATAGTCCACCCAACCGCCCTCAGGGCCGACCTTTGTCTACGGTTTAGGGTGTAGTTTAGGGTTTAGGGTTTTGGGTTTAGGGTTTAGGCTTTAGGGGTTAGGGTTTGGAGTTTGGGGTTTAGGGCTTAGGGTTCTACCCCAAGGCTCCTAGGTAGCGCCCAGAGAGCCCATACTGTGCCAATACTGCTTGATTAAGGACTATAACTTCAGGTATAAAGGGATCCTTTTTATGATTTCAGGAATATTCGTTAGTGAAGGGGTTGGGCTCTCTGGGTACCGAGAGGCTCCTGTGTAGTACCTTTTTAGGGTAGCACACTTTAATCCCTAATAACTAACCCGAAAAGGAACCACATTAGGGCCTTGAAGAACAAACAGGGTGGCCTTCTCGTGCTTTTTTTCAAGACCCACCCCGAGTTCCTTTGCGCTTGCTGTTGATATCTGAACGATTGTGGTTGTATTAAGTGTGGTACATATGACTTCCATTGCAATGTCATGATGATTCTTAAGCATAATCGTTCTCATGATGACAGAAGTCACCTTCGAGAGCCGCGCTTGAGGTGCTCTTGTACAATCTTCGAGGGCCGCCGTCAAGAAGAACACTGCTTGTAGGCTCCAGGGATGTTTAGCGGTATCTCATGACGGCGCTTGCAAGAGGGCTTGCCTGTTAGCATGAGATAAATGACAGCTTCTGGCTGACCTTGCTGTACACCCTCGATCCTTCCGCAAGAATCAGGCAAGGTTCTATCTGCGCGGGGGTAGATGAGAGAACCCTTTCTTCAAACTGGACTCCCTCAGGTGCCAGCCCTGCTTTTTTAACCCCTAATTGGCACCAAAGGGTCTCATGGCTGCAGCCCGAGTGTCTGCCAGGAGCACGGCCTGGGGCGGCGCTCCACGCGCCTGCGCCTCGAGCAGGGCCTCGCGGATGGGAACCTGGGAGGGTTTTTGGTCCAAGGTTGAGGGTTTTGGGGGGTGGGGGGGGTTGACACTTGGAGGTTGGCCTTCATCCAAGCCCCTAATACTCAACCTCACCACTCAGTTTTCTAAGCCTGAAGTTTGCCAGACCCCGGAACCGTTTGCCAGACCCCGGAAGCCCCCAGCCCAGTGCTCGAACTGTTTGTCAGGTTTAGGGTGAACTCAGAGAGTTCACAAATACCCACGACCTTAGATTATGTAGTTACAGGGGTTCTTAATTTGATTTAGGGCAAATTCCTCAATTCAGGGGTATAGAGGGCTCTTGGGAGAGGGTTTACCACGGCAAACCCTGAACCTCCAATCCTAAGCCAAAGCACGTCACTAATCCTTGCCTGGACCCCCCGGAGTATGTAAAACAAATTGCCCGATACCCATTAAAAAGAGGACCGTTGCTTTACATACTTTGGTGGTTTGAGTGGGGTTAACCAGTGCAACCCGAACACTCAACTTGCCAAGCGCCCGACCCTAAACCCTAAACCCTAAACCCTAAACCCTAAACCCTAAACCCTAAACCCTAAACCCTAAACCCTAAACCCTAAACCATCCCGCCGAAACACTCCAGCATCGCCCGGATGGCAGAGCAGCCGCAGGAAGTTAGGTGTCGGGAAGAGGGCATCCAGGGAATCCTCCACGAAAGGCTTTAGTCGCAGCCTCCGCGCGGTTTAGGGTTTAGGGTTTTGGGTTCGGGTTTATTGGCTCACCCCAAAGACCCCTCTATACCCCTCAATGTAGGAACATGCCTTAAATCATATTCAGAATCCCTACAGAACTTGTTCAGGGATGGCAGGTCACGGCCGTTGCAAAGAAGAATGTGGGAATTGCAAACATGTCTCATGGGACCTCAAACCCTAAACCCTAAACCCTAAACCCTAAACCCTAAACCCTAAACCCTAAACCCTAGACCCTAGACCCTTGACCCTTGACCCTTGAGCCGTGGCGTGCAAAAGAGGCCCCAAACAACCTAAGCCATAAAATCAATCTAAGCCCTAAACCCTAGATCCTATGCCCTAAACCCTAAGCCCCTCTTAAAGGAACGGACCTTTAATTATCGAGGGAGCCTCAGCACGACTGAGGACATCTTCCGTATTTGTTTAAGGGGTACAGGGCTGGTACCCTAAACCCTAAACCCTAAACCCTAAACCCTAAACCCTGAACCCTGAACCACCCTATAAACCCCATAAACCCTGAACTTCGACCAGGAGCTCAACCTGCACCTCTGGCAAGGTGGTGCACACCGCCTGCTCCAGACCTTCCAACCTTGAATTGTGGGGGGGCTTTAGGGGGGTTAGGGCTTAGGGGTTTAGGGATTTAGTAGGGGTTTAGGGGCTTTGGGGGTTTTAGGGCTTAGGGTTTAGGGTTTTAGGGTTGTAGGAGTTTTAGGGTTTAGAGTTTGGGGTTTCTGGTTTGGGGGCTTAGCGGTTTTTTGGGGTTTCGGGTTTGGGGGGGTGGCTCTTCTTACTCCCGAATCGCTGGACGAGCGGAAGCTGCAGGGACGTTTCGGGGTTAAGGCTTGGGGTTGTGGGTTAGGGGCTCAGGGTTTAGGATTGTGGGAGGTGGGTTTGTGGAGGTGAACAAAATCAGGTCCCCCAAAAGGAACTACATTTATAGAGGTCTAGGTAGGGTTTGTGGTCCGGGGGCTCAAGCGGGCGTTCTCACCCGGAATAAGGCTTTGTCTAGGCATCCCTACAAACATTCGAAGATACATCACACTTGACCCTAGGACCCTAAACCCTAGACCCTAAACCCTAAACGCTAAACCCTAAACCCTAAACCCTAACCCCTAACCCCTAACCCCTAAACCCTAAACCCTAAACCCCATGATGTCCGCGTCCTCGTCCTTTCTCCGTGGGCTATGCACGCTTGGGGGAATGAGAGAGATACCACATTCCCTATGTCCCCAATGTATCCTTTAAGGGATTACATATGGTACCTTATTCCCCCATTCCCTACTAACCAACAGTAAGCTCTTGGGCTTGTCATGCCTTGTTGCCAGCGTTTTGCGGATGCAGACTAAGTGAAAGAGCAAACCAAAAACACCATGCTCCCCTTAGAACCCTCAAAAAAACAAGTATTTGAATATTCCTTTGGGGTTTCAACAAATAAACAAAAAACATAGTCTTTAAGGAGGCACCCTAAACCCTAAACCCTAAACCAACCCTAGATCCTAGACCCTAGACCTTAGTCCCTCAACCCGAAACCCTAAACCCGAAAGCCCAACATAAACAGCACAAATGTAATTCCCAAAAAAAGCCATAGAACATGCCCCGTGTCAAAGGCCACGTAGCATCTCGGGGGTGTACTTGCTCGGATCGGTGGCTTGCGAGGAGAAATAGGGCTTCTCCTGGGCACCCGAAACCCTAAACCCTAAACCCTAACCCCTAAGCCCGCTGGCTTGTGAGGAGAAATAGGGCTTTGCCTGGCAGGCCGCCGATCTTGCCTTTGAGGGTTCTTGGTAACCCAGTACCCTTATTATAATTGGACTTTGTTTTTATTCTTATATATATCTATATATGTATTTTTTATTTATTTTATTATTACTATATATATATATATATATATGTTTGTTTTTTTTTTTTTTTGTTTTTTAGGGGGGGGGGTGGTGGTGACTTTAGAAGGGAACCTAGAACCAAAAGGAGCAAACGGACACCACTGGGCCACCAAGGGTGCAGGGGTTTACAAGTTTAGGGCTCTGGATGCGAAATAGCCTGCGGCTGTAAAAACGAGGAGGCTTCCCCTGCCACAACTATGCTTCCAGCCGTACTTTGAGGTTCAGGGTAACTTATAAGCCCCGCAAGTCCCCGAAGTAGGTTATATGTAGACTTATAATAGGGGTTATAAGTACCCATGAACCTGCATGTAGAACTAGGAATTTCGCCAGTGTTGTGCAAGTTTAAACAATTGAACCACCTGGCGTTGCGAAGTGCCTGCCCTTGCTTTCGCGCCAAAGGAAAAACAGCTGTTCGTCTTGCTTTCGCGCCAAAGGAAAAACAGCTGTTCGTCATGTGCTTGATACCTTGTATGTCAACCCACAATGTGTGCAATTCGTGTAAGTATGTTTGTTGGTTCCCTGCCATAATGTTTCATATCTGTTCTTCAAGCATCGACACATGGTGCAACAATGAATTCCTAAGCCATCTTCCTTGTATCAAGATCAAAGATAGCAATGGCTTAACATACGGGCCTTTACCATGTGACTAGGACTTTCTCCCGGGGGGGGGGGGGATCCGGTAGTATACTACTTAGACATGTATATATATATATATATAAATAAATACCAATATATATATATATATACCCATATATATATATATATGTATATATATATATATATTTCCCGGCCAGAGTTTCCACGCGCCAAGCGTTGGTCAGCACGATGCGGCGCAAGCCAAGCTGTGCCAGCACCGACCAGAGCCTCATCATAACCTGTGCACCAGGGGATGTAGGGTTTTAGGGTTTAGGGTTCAGGAAGTCGGGTCTATAGGGTTTAGGGTTTTATGGTTTAAAGTTTAGGGGAGTTGTAGTCCAAGGGTAGTTACATGGTCCCTCAATATGGCCCCGTACCTCTGCTGAGGGTTCTGAAGTATGAGCCCTTGGGCCGTATAGGGTATATGTAAGGGGTATATAAGGGTTCCCCAATTGAGGACAATGTAACGACCCTTACAGTTGTAGAGTCCTGAAGGAGCTGTGTCATGGGTAGTAGGTACCTAATAAACCTTGGGGAGGCTTAGGGAGCCTTGGGGGTAGCGGGGAGTAGTAGAGAGCATTGGGTTACATACCCCCTTGAGCCCCCCGCCCGCAAGGATCCTATAAGTTTTGTACTAACCAAGTAAAGTCTGCATTTCACGTGTCTTTCGAACTATGAAAGGGACCCCACCGTAGCCAAAAAAAGGAGCGGCTAGCAAAGGCTTTGTGATGGTCTTGCATCTGGGAAGTTCATTCTGGCCCAAAAGGGTGAATGTCACGAAAGTCGGTCCAACTTCATGCTAGCTCTCATGCCCGCGAGCCCCGGCGCCTTTGGACGAGGCATGGCCAAAAGCAACTCCACGTGCGGGTGGGGAGGCAACGCCGACAAGCAAAGCCGGCCAGCTGCGTCGGTGTCATTGCTGGCAGCCGGACTTAGTCGAACTTGCCCATCCTCCAAAATGCACACGCTCGCGCGCCCCACACCGACTCCCACGCAGCCAACGCGGATTGTTGCGCCGGGCTTTGGCTTTAACACAGTTGCAATGTGTCGTGCACGACGGTCCGTGGTGGGCAAGAGGACGGATCCAGTGGCATTTATCTCCTCCACCTCGTCGTAGAGCAGCAGGACTAAGTTCATGGCAACTGTGAGCAAACCATGGTCTATTCCATGTCCGGTACGTCTACTTGACTACTTGAGAGTGCCGAATAAAGAGGCAAAACAGCTAACCAACGCTTCAGTAACACTTTGTGGACGACATATACCGTAGGAATAACTGCAAGGAAGGATTCGCCTAGACTTTCATTGCGCACGGATCTATCGTAGCCCCATGAGATGAAGATTAAGCAATCCGACAGATGATCATGCTGCGCTGTGGGCTCTCTCCGCAAATCCTAACCCTAAACCCTAAACCTTAAACCCTAAACCCCTAACTCCTAGGCACGCCAGTCTTCCCCGGTCTGCGAGAAGCCGAAAACTGCACCAAGCACAACAAGGCTCGACGGAAGAGTCCCGCGCCTAGGCCCCCAATGCTGACTGTCGGTTAGTACAAAGGAGGGCTCATTTAGGGTTTAGGGTTTAGGGTTGAGGGCTTACTTGGAGGTTCATGATACTTACTCGCGAACTATAACTGTACGTATAACCCACTTATAAGCCCCTTAAGTGCCCTAATGTAGTTATAAGTACAGTGATAAGTACAGTTATAATTGGTTAATACGCACCATGAACCTCCAAGAAGGGAATAGGGGAATGAGGTACCCCATATGATCCCTCAAAGGGTACATAAAGGGCCCGGATTCCCTCATTCCCTGCTAACTTTTAACTAACAGTAAGAATGATGGCACTGTATCCTCAAGGTTTTGGGGCCACTTTAGGGCTTCAGGCTTCGTCTTGTTGCTTTGGTTTAAAGAGGGGGGACTGGGTGGGGGAAGGTGAATTACCTGCTTTCATCGAAAAACGATCATGAAACCATGGGCTTTCAGTACCCCGAGACGGAAAAAAAAAAAAAAAAAACGGCTGTTTGTTTCAGAGGTCCCTCTACCGCCTTCGCGGCTTGGAGCCCTGCCAAACCAGCGGGCTTTTGCTGGTCCAGGTACTCAACTTCTAAACCCTGGGTTTAGGGTTTAGGGTTTAGGGCTAGGGTTTAGGG